CAAAAAAAAAAAAAAAAAAAACAAAACACTGATAGAAAAATAGTATACACTCAGTAAAATTGTTCCCTGTGACTGCTCGGATTACCTTTGAGGTAAGAGCTTATGTCTGGTGAGTACCATGAAGCTGTTGGCTTGCTACAATTTCCTATCTTGCTGCATCCCACAGTATCGTCTGCCCATACCACTAATGGATCAGCACCAATGCCACTGTGGCGGAATAAAGAGGATTCTGATCTATTTTGTGGATGAAGAGAAAGGTTGGCTGTGCTCCACTGGCCGTATTTATCAACTAATGTAATGAAGTTTTAATGTCAAAAATCTGTTGTTGATGCTGTGCCTACAGTTATATGAAATGGATTTTATCAGAAAAAAAAAATAATCAAAGAATTACTCACAGAATGCCATCTGTATTGCGTTGTCCCATGCAAATATCCAGATGTTAAGAAACAACAGATTTAAATTTCTACAAGAAGTAAGGGGTGAAGGTATCTGAGGTGAATATCTCAGTAGCTGCTATTTCAGCCTCTGAACAAGTGGTAACTAAATGGCACAGCAGAGTACACCTGCAAAGCTTCAATAGGAGGCAAACATTGTAGAGACACAGTCAGTAATCCTGCATGGGCAGAACTTTCTATAACTGAACTATGCATTTTAATGGCAAGGTGATCAACACTTTTCTTGCTTCTGTTTCTCTAATGCAGCATTCTGCAAAAGAATTCAGGTAAGTCACGGAGAAAATTTTGTTCTTTTTGCATGACTTGTTTATGGTGGATATGGGAACAAAGGTAGCTTCGTAAATTAATGGATGATTGCTGTTTTGATAGAGCTGTTGCACGTAAAAGGAACTTAAACTGTGTATTTTCATGTAACAAGAAAAAAATAGTACTTTCACAAATTCTCTCATGCTTGTTTCTGCCTTGGAACAGGGGGCTGATTATTCCCCCCCCCTTTTTTAAATGGTGCTGTGATCAGATTTTCAAATCTGATTATTTTCAAATCTTTGTTATTTCAGATCAGATCATTTAGCAGCTTAGTATGCACTATTCCCACAGATCAGGGCTTGAACATCTATTAGAATTGTCCCATGCAAATATCCAGATGTTAAGAAACAACAGATTTAAATTTCTACAAGAAGTAAGGGGTGAAGGTATCTGAGGTGAATATCTCAGTAGCTGCTATTTCAGCCTCTGAACAAGTGGTAACTAAATGGCACAGCAGAGTACACCTGCAAAGCTTCAATAGGAGGCAAACATTGTAGAGACACAGTCAGTAATCCTGCATGGGCAGAACTTTCTATAACTGAACTATGCATTTTAATGGCAAGGTGATCAACACTTTTCTTGCTTCTGTTTCTCTAATGCAGCATTCTGCAAAAGAATTCAGGTAAGTCACGGAGAAAATTTTGTTCTTTTTGCATGACTTGTTTATGGTGGATATGGGAACAAAGGTAGCTTCGTAAATTAATGGATGATTGCTGTTTTGATAGAGCTGTTGCACGTAAAAGGAACTTAAACTGTGTATTTTCATGTAACAAGAGAAAAGTAGTACTTTCACAAATTCCCTCATGCTTGTTTCTGCCATGGAACAGGGTATTTTCCCCCCCCCCCCCAAATGGTGCTGTGATCAGATTTTCAAATCTGATTATTTTCAAATCTTTGTTATTTCAGATCAGATCATTTAGCAGCTTAGTATGCACTATTCCCACAGATCAGGTCTTGAACATCTATTAGGCTTCCTGATGAAATGTGGATATAAAAGAACATCTACTGATGTCTGCTAAAACAAACTGAAGAACCAGGTTGAAATATGGACCATGTATGTTTAGGAATATGTGTGCATGTATCAGAAGTGTTAATGCATGAAGGAGGAAAATGAGAGAACACACGTGGTAGCATCCTGGGAGTACAGGCTCAGTTTTAAACCATCTGAAACGAAGCTTAAGTTAGTAATATTTTACACAGCTTTTGTTTTGTTGTCTGTATTTAGGCATTGCGTCACGTGCGTAGGAGAGTGACAGTAGTTCTGGTGGTGCACGGCATTTTAAAATAGGTTATTTAAAATTCCAGGCAACAGAAGGGGGCATGTGCTTGAGCACATGCCGGGGGCTGAGAGGGAAGGGCGCATGCTCCATGCGGTAGCGAAGGTGTCGCGTTGTCTGGAAGGGCACCACAGATAAGTGCTTTGCTACCTTTATCGTCCCATGGAGTCAGGAGACAGTCAGGCAAAGTCATACGTCGTTAAACATACTAATGAGAGACCCTCTGATCCTGAGGACAGTCGCTGACAACAACCAAAACTGTTTTATATTTTTAGAGATACAATTACCATTTTTAAGTGGTTATGAATTTAAGTTGACATTTATTGATGCAGAATGTGAAAACATGAAAAACGTATTGTTTGGTTTAGCTAGTTCCGTGGTAGTGTTAAAAATCATCTGTAAAAGACACTTGTCTTTCCTGTTTTTAAGTGTAATTCTTGCCTAGCGTCATGAAGGTAACCAAATTGTCATCTTCTGACAGCTCGGGGAGGGTGGAGTGGTCTGGGGTGTTCCCATCAAACCAAACAGCGTTTTCTGTAGAAAGGGTGCCCAGGGCATTTCTTGTGCTTCTGGTAAACTTGGACACTAAAACTAAGGATGAATTTTATCATATATCAAATTCAGATGTTAGTTTGTCCTGTACTGAAAAATGACACCAAATGCATAGTGGAAACATGTTCGGAGAGGAATTAAGAGGCAAAGCCTCTTAAGGGTAGGGCTCCACTCCTACATTTATATGTTTGGCTCTGACAGGAGAGCCTCACAGCCCCAGCGACCCTGCACGGGGCCTCAGCCTGTGGTGGCTCGGTGGTCCTCCTTAGCCCCCCCACGTATTGCTGTTGCCTTAGGCTGGCAGCCCAGGCGTGCCGAGAGCTTGGCTGTCTGTCAGCGGGAGTGGGCACAAAGCAGTGGAAAGAAGATGTCGGGTAGCAGTAAAAAGTAGAAGCTGGGAAGGCGAAATATACGTAGAATGCGAATATTTAATTTTCCAGCTTGTGTGGTTTGCTGTGTGGTGGGTTTGGGTCCCGTAGGGTTCATCTTGTTTGTTTGGTTGTAGCCTCCCGCAATCCCTTCCTGTCTGTTCATTCTCTGCATCGAGAACTGAGGATACAATTATCATGACTAGGGAAGAG